ATTACATCGATTTGCTTGTAGATGTTCAATTCTATAAATGTTTGTATTTTTTGCAGTAAAATATAATTTTGATTTAAGGATATATTATTTGGCCCATCTACGTTTCCTTCTAATGCTTGCACGACCGAATGCAATAAGGTATAGTTATTTAATTTTAACTGTCAAATTCCTTTGCTTATGTATGCCTTTCATATGGACTCACATAGGCCTATCAGACTAATAAATATTTACGTTATTACGAATGCTAATACTTCTGGACTTGACTTGGCCTTCTTTCGTCTGTCCGATTGCTTCGTACGTTCTTCCTGGAAATCATTTAATTGAAATATCTCAAGTATCTCGTCTTTCCTCATCTCTTCATTCCGAGCCAGTCTGAATCAGCCCTATCCTGGACCCTTCACCAGCAGAATAAATATATGGACGTAACATGAACTTCCCTGTGCATATTGACCGCTTAAACGGAGATATAATACCATATTCCTGTATTCATGTGACAAAAATACTCGTGTTTGAAATGAAATGGATTAACAAACAAAGCTCTGTTAATTTTGCGGCAAATACGAGTCTGGAGTTAAAAGATCGATTCATTTGCGATTGAATTTTGGGAAGTGGTACCACCCACTTCTCTCTTCATAATCTTATTTAGAACGAAATATTGACGTAATAGTCCAAAAACGCTAATGTGAACATCGATATATTACCATCCAATTGAGTCGGCCAGCTATCAGCATAGACAATCTCTTCATGTTCTATTCCTAATCTGGGCTCAGCTGGAAAATAGGAGAACCGCAAGTTCGATCGACTATGCTTAACTGCATCTTAGCAGTTTAAACCAATGCTTCGCAGATATGCTTCAAATGACATGCCGATATTTACTTCATTATAAAATTGCTTTTTGGCAGTGATCACAAGATGTTTCTGATCAAGCAAAAGCAGCTAAGGTGAAATGGTTGATAATCTTTCATCGATCTGACTGAAGAATACCCAACAACCTCCTAAAAGTTCACTGTCGATCTTAATCCATTTCCATTTTATAAACTAAAAATACAATCAGGCCCAAAACTTTAAGAAAAAATAAGTCAAGAGAGTTTGAATTGTTAATTAAAATCGAAACATATACGCAAAACATGTCCAAACTGACGATTTGGACACATTCATTTTCTTCGGCTCTTTAACTAAAAAGTAGAAAAGCATGGGGTTAGACTCATAGAGTAACCTTGCGCATAATAATAAACAAGGGGCTCAAAATTCTATCAAAAGTAGCATCAAAATGTCCTGATGACGCCTCTTGGATAGGATTCACTGGAGCAACTAGTCCTCGAGCAGTGTCATCGCCTGGAGAAGCATTGCGTTTTAAACGATACTGTGGAAATGACGGCATCAACTCTGGTTCACAAGCTTTACCAAGAGAGAACGAGAGACCAGTAGATAAAATATTTTACATCAGTTCATTGAGTTATAACAGGATGTTTCGAAGAATTGGAATGAATAGGATGTGAGCTACCGCACAGTGAACGGAAAGTAACTTTCTATCAAGATTCCCAGATGTTTAAAATCGCGCAAAATAAAGCTTATTCTTCGGGAGCAACAAGATGATGATTGAGAATTAGAGACATATGCTCAAGAACTATTCTAGAGATTGAAGAAAGTGGAAGTGAACGATTTTAAATTTAAAAGTGGAGTTTCCACTTCCTTCCTCTATAGCTGCGCATAAAATGTGTATGAAATTTAAGCAAAAAGAATAGATGAACCGAAATCGATATTCCCTAAAATCGTGAAATATTGGCAATTTGAAAACAACAATGGCATTGGTTATCAACTACATATACACAAATGTCCTTAGTTTAGTGATGGGTTTAGATTTCTCCGTGAATTACACGAAACTTGTGCTATTATTTCATGTAAAACCGGATTATTGGCAACAATCACCAAAACAAGCTACTCAAATCGGTTTGTTCATTTTACAGCGAAAAACAACTTTTGAGCACTGGGCATTTGATTGAATGGAAGTTCGAGCAATCGATTATTAAAATAAAGTTGTAATTAAAGATAAATTATATTGTCAAATGCGGGGTTCGCGATAGACTTACCCCCACGTGGTTCACCCTAGACAATGTGTCTTCGTACGGCAAAAAATCTATCACTCGGCATTTGATTTGACTTCTATTCATTATTATTAGCCTGAAACAAGGCTAAAAGGGAAATCGCCCTCGTCAGAGCGAATCACAACGTCTTCAGATCCTCCAGTGGAATGCTGGAGGGATGTCACAGGACAATAAGATCCAAGTCCATTAAATCCTACAAACCTATGCTGTAGACATTTTC